AAACCTGAAGTTACACACAGGGCTCGTATTACATTCCTATTGGACCGTGCTATGGTAAGTGAAACACCTTCCAATCAGCTTTTCAGAGCCCTCTTCTTAAATGCGAATAGACACAGATTTCCAGAAGTTTGAGGGAAGCCTCTAATATGAAAGGTAGAATACAAGTCAAAACAACTCCGAGGAAAGACGGGTAATGCAGGGAGCAGAATAACACTGAGAGATCCTCTAGTAGCATCCTCAAAGAAAAGAAAAAATTTTACCCATGAAACCAAACCATACTATTATAAAAAAAAGGAACAACCAGAGGACCAGAAAATGAATTTGAAAATCTAAGCATAACAACAGAAATAAAAACATTCAGAACACTGAGTAGTAGAGGTGGAAGGTAAAGTTGAAGGCATCTTCCAGAAAAGACAGAAATCAAAGAATGTTAGTGAAGATGGCGGAGTAGGAAGTGCCAGGAACCCATCTCTCCCCTTAGACAACAACTGTACTGGCAGAAAGTATTTAAAGTGATTCTTTTGAAACAGGGGAGTCTATTTTAAAACATGTACCTCCCAGAGGGAAACCTTGACTGGTAAGCTACAATTCATGGTGGTGAGTTTTAGCCTTCAGGACAGCAGAAGCCATCCATCACCCACCAGCCAGTCCTGTGGCAGGAGGCTGTGGAGGTGGAACCCACATTTCCAGTTCAGCTTGCTGGAGCCAAAGTGAGCAAGAAAGACCTTTTCCTCCAAACACCAGGGTTCTGACTTTGGATGGCTGCTTCTGACCATGGCGGAAGAGCAGGCACAAAGGCAAGCTACCATTCTTCCATCCCCCACTAGCTAAAGTGGCTTCCAGGAGATTTAAAAAACAGGAACAGCACTTGTTTTTCTTAGGGGGCAGGCAATGAAAAAAACACATACATGGAGTATTTAGAAAGTGACTACCTCTGCCCAGGGAAGTCAGCCGGAAGACCGGCTCAGGAAAGACCTGAGTGAACTTGAAGCATTTACCAAAGCCTGATCCCCAGAACAGAGATACCCTAAAGTTAAAAAAAAAAACACCCACCAAACTCTGGGAAAAGGGGGAATCCAATTACCAGAGCCACCCCACTGTAAGATTCAAATGTCCAGTTTCAACAACAAAAATTAAAAGTCATGCAAAGGAGCAGGAAAGTATGGCTCATTCAAAGGAATAACATAGTTCAACAGAAAATGTATCTGAGAAAGTCCAGAGATCAGCATTTCTAGACAAAGACTTTAAAACAAATGTCTTAAAGATGCTCAAAGAGCCAAAGGAAGACTTGGATCATGTTGGCAGATCAAGAGAAAAATGAGGAGTCTCCATGGCAGAAACGAGGGAACAGGTATTAACTGTGGTTTCAGAAGGGAATGCTCTCCTTAGTCCCGCTCCACAGAAGGACTGTACGCATTGTGAATATCAGTAGGGGAAAAAAACCCCAGGTTTTTTTAACCTGTAATTTTTTAAAAATTACAGGTTTAGCAAAGCTTGTAGACTATCAGAACCATTCTGTGGGGAGAGACACTGGAGGTCTCCAACCTGGAAGAATCTCTCAACCTTAGAACACTTAAAAAAAAAAAAGCATCCATGTGTACATGGTCAAATGATCTTCAACAAGAATGCAGTCTACACTGTGTGGAAAAGACAGTCTCTTCAACAAACCATGTTGGGAAAACTGGGTATCCAGACAATAAAATGAAGATGGACCTTTATCTTATACCACATATAAAAATTAACTGAAAATGGATTAAAGGCCTAAAGGTAAGAACTGAAACTATGAAATGCCTAAAAGAAAACATGGGGGGAGGTGCGGAGAATTTCAGGACACTGGATTCGGCAATGATTTATTGGACATGACAGCAAAAGCACAGCGGGAAAAGGGGCAAAAAATAGGCAAATGGGACTACATCAAACTTAAAAACTTCTGTGCGGCAGATGAAACAGTGCTGAGAAAATGGAAAATATTCCAATGGAATCAACAGAATAGGAGAAAATGTTTGTAAGTTATAAGTCTGATAAGGGGTTAATATCTAAAATAGAAAAAAAAACAGCTAAAACTGGAAAACAAAAACAAATTAAATAATGAGCAAAGGAAAAATATGGGCAAAGGATCTAAAGAGACCATTCCCTTAAGACATACAAATGATCAACAAGCATGTGAAAAGATTTTCACCATCACTAATCATCAGGGAAATGCAAATGAAAACCGTATCTGTTAGAATGGCCAGTATCAAAAATGTAGAAAATACCCCTGGCTGGTGTGGCTCAGTGGACTAAGTGCCAGTCTGCGAACCAAAAGTTTGCTGGTTCGAGTCCCAGTCAGGGCACATGCCTGGGTTGTGGGCCAGGTCCCCAGTAGAGGGCGTTCAAGAGGCAACCACACATGGATGTTTCTCTCCTCTTTCTCCCTTCCCCTCTCCCTGAAAATAAGTAAATAAAATATTTAAAAAATATATATATATGGAAAAAATGTGTTGCTATGATGTGAAGAAACCTTTGTACACTGTTAGTAGGAATATAAAATGGTGTAGTTGCCATGGAAAACAGGATGGAGGTTCCTCAAAAAGTCAATACGATTACCACATGATTCAGCAATCCCACTTCTGGGTGTATATCCAAAGACTGATAATAGACTTGAAGAGATTACTTGCATATCCATGTTCATTATATGAACATTATATGAACATATTACAGCATTATATCACAATGGCCAAGAGACAGAAGCAACCTAAATATGCATTGATGAATGGATTTAAAAAACTGTTGTGTAAACACACAATGGAACATTATTCCACCTTAAAAAAGAAAATCCTGTCACACACTACAAGAATAAAACTTGAGGACATCAGCCAACCCCACTTGTAGGTTCTTTACCGAGAACAACTGCAAGCAGGGATTCCAACGGGTACTTGCACACCCCTGTTCACAGCAGTTACTTACAGCCGAGATGGTGGAAATGACCTAAATGGCTATCAAGAGGTGAAAGGGTGAACAAAATGTAGTACATACATTCTACAGCGTGTTTTCAGCCTTGAAAGAATGAAATTCTGACATACACAACATGAACCTTAAAAACATTACGTCAAGTGAGACAAGCCAGGCACAAAAGGACAAAAATTAAGTGAATCCATTTATATGAGGTACCTAGAAGGGTCAAATTCATAAGGAAGGGAAAGGTAGTGGTTACCAGAGGCATGGGGGCGGGGGGCCGGGTGGGGAGTTCTCGGGAAACAAGTCGAGTTTCAGTCTGGGGAGACGGGAAAAGGTCTGGAGATGAATGTGGGGACGACCGCGCAGTAATGTGAATGTCTTCCATGCCGCTGAAGCGTACCCCCGGAAGGGTTAAAAAGGTCAGTGTCCTGTGATATATTTTTACCACATTAAACAAATCATTTTAGAACAAGTAAATTCATTGACAGAAGTCTTGTCTTGTGGTGTGATCTGAATTAAATTTCAATAGAAATTCATCAAAACAAACAAACAAACAAACAACTCAAGTCAGGATAAATAGTTCTCATAAGCCATAGTTCTTGACAGCTCAAGGTCTCTGGCGGGTGTATTTAGCAGGAACTATGCAGATCAATTCATCACACAGCAATACTTGAACTACAGGCTTTGAGGGAGTGAGGGCACAAGGAAAAAACCAAAAACATTATTCAGAGGTAGCAACGCAGATCTAAACCCACTAAATCGCAGCAAGGGCTGCTGTGTCTCAGATGTGTGTTATGGATCCCTTCGCTCCGATAAGCCAAGTGTTTTTTGCTTTCTCTTTGTGTGCACTCTGCCTCCCACTGCAACGCTGGGAAGTCTGTCCACTGCTGAGTCGGTGGGCTCCTCCAGAGCCCCATGCCCTGAGACCCAAATCTAACTGACTTTGGGTTTTTAGTTCTTTTTTCCATTAGAAACTATTACTCAAGCTCCGCCAATGAAATTAGTAAGGAAAAATTCACTAATATCTATATCTTCTATTCTTTTGAGGTCTAATCTCACAGCAGAAAACTTAAGTGAAAATTTTGTGTTATCATTTCTAACTCCTCCTGAATTTTACTATCAATAGGGTGGCTTTCGATTTCAGAACATGCATTCTCCAGATGGGAGGGGGTCAGAATATCAAATTCCTACAGTGGGCAAGTCAGGTTACATAACTGAGAGAACTTGGCAAGTAGTAGATTCCCTGTTAAAGGTAGCAGCTGTGGCCCCAAACCACCTGGCTGTCCCACTGAAGCCTGGGCCTAGTGTTGCCATCCCTTTTATTTTTCAAGACAAGCCTTTTTTTTGGTATGAAATTTCCTGTCTTTTAAATGGTGACAACTAATTACACACACACACACACACACACACACACACACACACACAACCTTACCCTGCAGACCAACTAAAACATGTCAAAGGGCCCAACTTTAGCTTGTGGCCTTTGCCATACAGAAGGTTTACACTCCAATTACAGGAAGCTGCACTTAGCTAATAGGCAAAATGTTAGAAAAATATAATTCTACGTTGCAAAAGGCAACCCATCCAGAATAGCTGTTTCAGCACCCATTTCCTCCCACCCCACCCCCACCCCCACCCCCCAATCCATTTTCCTAGGACTGTCACTCTCTTGTCTGAGCTGGCTCGGGTGCACGCCCTCTAGAATCTCAATGCTCTCAGCCAATGCCCAAGGAAAACCAGGTTGGGGTGCTCTGTCCAGTGAAAACATTCCCTGAAGGCAAACTTGTTTCAGCTTCACTGACTTGTTCCTGTTTGCAGCATTCCAGCATCAAGTATTCAAGTAGTCAAGGCATCCAGTCTTCAAAGAGGACACTAGTCTCACGAAGCCAGAAGTTCAGCATTCTAAATGAGTGATTTGCTACTACAGAAACTTGAAAGTTCCAATGAATCAAAAATGTTTGACTTATTTCCACAGCTTCAGAAAATATGAGGTACAAAAAAAAAAACCCCACAAACAAAACAAACCTCCCCCTACCCCACCCCCAGAAATGATCAATCCCAACCTTTTGTTCTGCCAGTTCAGAAACTGAAATTCAGGAAGGTCAAACTTGCCCAAGGTTACAGAGCGGCCTGGCTGGCAAACTGGGACAGAATGCAGGTGATGTATGACCACAATCAAGTTCTCTACTACACCGTATGGCAGTGCAAGGGGATGCCAGATGAGTGGGAAATCTTCCGAAGAGGCTAACAGGGTGGGTCTTGGGCACACCTCCCAGTCTTTTACATTCATATTTGGCCTTTTACAGTCACTTTACATCTCATACTATTTTCACTTTCCACATGACTTTACCAGCCCTAATTACCATCTCCCAAAAGTTACCGTCCTTGCAGAGAAAGGTGAATGGGGAAAAGTCTGTTCTTCCTAGCTGACAACCCATCGAAGTCGCAGCTACTAATCAATATGGGTCTCTAATAAGGGACAGTTTTGATTACATTTCCCCCCACCTTACTGTAGCCTGAGAATTAATCTCCAGAGTGAAATCCCCGATGTCTGAGGAGGCCCGAATTACTTTTAAATGTCTTTTCACATTCTTTACATTCATATTCTTTTCTTCCAGTGTGAATTTTTAGGTGCTCTACGAGGATCGAGCTGCGACTGAAGGTTGCTCCGCAATAGTCACATTCGTAGGGTTTCTCTCCGGTATGGATCCGATGATGCTCATTCAGAGAGGAGCTCTGACTGAAGGATTTTCCACATTCTTTACATTTATACGGTTTTACTCCAGTGTGAATTCTCTGATGACGGCTGAGGAGCGAATGGGTAGGGAAGGCTTTCTCGCACTGACTGCATTTGTAGGGTTTCTCTCCTGAATGGAGTCTCTGATGGTAAATGACAGAGGTAAAATGGCTAAAAGTCATTCCACAATCATTACATAAGTACGGTTTTTCTCCAGTGTGAATTCTCTGATGCCGGGTGAGGCAGGAGTTCTGTCGGAAGGCTTTTCCACATTCGCCACATTTGTAGGGCTTCTCTCCAGTATGGATCCTCTGGTGCTTGGACAGCGATGAGCTATGACTGAAGGATTTCCCACAATTGTTGCACGTGTAGGGTTTCTCTCCAGTATGAATTCGCTGATGTTGAATTAGAGATGAACTGTCACTGAAGGGTCTCCCACATTCTTTGCACTTGTAGGGCTTTTCTCCAGTATGAGTTCTCTGATGTTTAATGAGGTGGGCAGCGAGGGTGAAAGTTTTCCCGCAGTCATCGCATTTGAAGGGCTTCTCACCGCTGTGGGTCCTGTGATGTGGCGTCAGGGATGAACTGTCACTAAAGGACTTTCCACATTCGTCGCACAGATAGGGCTTTTCCCCAGTGTGCGTCCTCTGATGTTTGCTCAGGGAGGCACTATAGCCGAAGGCTTTCCCACATTTGCTGCATTTATGGGTTTTTTCTGCAGTCTCTGCTCCCTCATCTTTCTTTGAGGTTTCATCCTGACTTTCATTTTCCCGACATTCATATTTCCAACATTTCTCACATATAGGGGTTTTTCTTCTCTTAACAAGGGATAAGCTTTGAGTGAAGTCTATCCCGCAGTTAGTGCACTTCTGGGGCTTGGTCCCCATGTAAATTTTCTGATGTTTCTGATGTTCAGGACGTGATGAAGAGTGACTTAGAACTTTCCTGCGTTCCCTACGTTTCCGTGGCTTTTCTCCCATGTGCTCTTTGCGGTTCGTCATCAGGTCTGAATGAAAACTGAAGCGTTTCTTGCTTTCGTTATACTTCCGGGACTTCTTCTTTAAGTAGGCTCTCACGTGTTTAATTATGTCCGAAGTGTTCTTGAAACTACTTCCCTTGTCTGGGTCAGTTTCCTCACCCTTAGAGCTTCTCTTGTGAGTTTTCTTTAGTGTGCCTGCTACTTGCGAACGTTCCCTACTGCTGCGGTCCCCCTCTAGCCTACCACGTTTCGAAGATTCTCCCGTCAAGCCGTCATCGCCACCTATGAGGTACCTCTCTATTATTTTATCTAAAGTCGATTCGTCCACAAGAGCATCTTGATTTTGAACAGATTTCTTCAGATCACCTCTAGGTTCACACTCTAAAAAAAAATAACACAGAATATTTCCTGTTTGTAATACAGGAAGGTGCTGTATTTGGGGCTACAATAGGAACAGGGACAGTAATGGCTATGAGGATTCTGACTTGGACAGTTCTCAAACAGAGTCTTCTGAAGCAAGGGAGAAAAAAGTGATACAGAGAAAGCAGGTCAGCATAGGGGTTAGGAAAGACACTGACGAAGATGAAAAGTTCATGCTTTGTAGTTAGAAATCCAAGTTCTTACCCTCATTTCACATTTCTGCAATAGGTTCAAACAATAATAACAATGCAAATATTCATTGAATACTTAACCAAATGCCAGGCCAAACAGCAAACACTTTATTTGTTATTTCATTTAATTTTCACAACCCTATGAAGTAGGCCCTACTATTACCCCTGTTTCACAGGCGTGACAAGCAGGCACAGAGAATCTAAGCAGCTTACCCAAAGTCACATGTATTACAGTGGTGGTGCCAGATTTTTAACCTAGTCAGACACTAAAGCCCAAGCTCTTGATCCCTATACTATAGTGCCTCGCCTGAGAGCAGTCGAATAGCACTGTTTATGGATGTCACTGCATCACAGATGTGCAATGGCATCTATGCCAGACTTTCAAAGGTTACCACGATCTGGCCCTGTCAACCACATGGACACTCTCTCTAGTCAGGCACCTATTTACTCTTCATAACATATGACAGTGTTTTCAGTCCTATTCTTTTGGTCTTGATACCTCACACCACCTAGCATGCAATCCTACAGCACCTTCGCTATCTCAAACACATAAATTTGACAGGGCATAGGGTTTAAGTCCCACCACCTCCACTGAGCTTTCTCCATTACTACACTGTTGATGCCCTTCTCAGAGCTTTGAATTCATTTATTAATCACATCATTCATCCTGGCTCTTAATTTTGAGATTACAGTCCCTTCTGTAAAGTTATTTTTTAAACAGATAACTATAAAACACAAAATCCTATTTCCCAGAAATTAACTATCATTACAACTGTATTTTCTTCTAGAAATTGTTCTATATTTTAGAATGGAAAAGCCATGAGTAATATGTAGGGTTACTTTTCTCATTCAAAATTCTTTCCCATCTCACTGGTTCCTTTTTTTTTTTTTAAGATTTTATTTATTTATTCTTAGAGAGAGGGGTAGGGAGAGAGAAAGAGAGGGAGAGAAACATCTACATGAGTGAGAAACATCAATCAGCTGCCACTCACATGTGCCCTGACTGGCAACTGAACCCACAACCCAGGCATGTTTCCTGACCAGGAATCAAACCTGTAACCCTTTGCTTTGCGGGACAACACCCAACCAACTGAACCATACCAGTCAGGGGTCAATGGTAATTCTTCATAAAGATAATTTTAATTAGATACATAGTAATTCACTCTGTATCACTGTATTTCTATATTAATACAACATATATTACTTTATTTAATTATTCCCTTATTGAGTGTCTATCAAATGATTAATATTTCCTGCCCTAACCTAGTGTAGCTCAGTTGGTTGAGCTTCGTCCTGCAAAGCAAAGGGTCACCAGTTCAATTCCCAGTCAGGGGCATGTGCCTGGGGTGTTGTTCCATCCTGGTCAGGGTGTGTATGAGAGGCAACGGATCAGTGTTTCTCCTTCACATCGACATTTCTCTCTCTCTCTCTCCCTCCCTCTAAAAATAAAGTCTTTTTATAAAATCTCCTCAAAAGAGAGTCATACAAGTGAAATTATTGAACCAAAGGGTAGAAACGTTTTATTATCACATGAAGAACGATGAGCAGAAGTATCTGAGTAATCATCTCTAGTCAAATGACCTTTAAGGTTTTGTGAATCTGGTCTATAACAACCAGTATGGTTGCTTTAAATGTATACTTCATTGGTGACCAGTGACCTGGAGTTCTATTTTCACATCCACAGATATTCAACTTTTAATACTGTCAGTTATTTTTCATTTAATCAGCTATCTGCTCAAGTTCTTTGCCCATTTTAAACAGACTCAGTGTTTCTTATTGTTTTACATGAGCTTTTTGATAAATTATGGCTACTGGCTCTGTTTTGTCTGTCAAAAGCTTTCTTCTCCAGTCTGTCATAAATGACTTTCTGAACGAGTTGTTCACCTAAATGATGCTTCTTTATACAAGGGGGAGGAACATGCATTTATACCACTGCTGCTAGTTTTACTCAAAACGTTTTTAAAATCCATTTTTGGAAATATTTTCCCAATTGCTACTCAAGTAAAAGGCAATCGCTGTCTTTTATTTGTGTCACTATACTGAAAACAACTGGTAGGTTGACTAGTAGGTTGACTAAAATGAATAGTTAAGAAGATGGATTAGTGCAAACTGAATTACTGTTTTTTCCTTTAAATAAACTAAGGTATGGACATGTAAGTAATTATGCTTTAAATGTGAATTTTATATATTTATTGTTAAATTTTAAAATGGGGGAAAGATAAAGAATACAGCCCCTCAAAAATAACCAGTATTAACATGAATGTTCTCCAGACATTAAAAATCCTCTATATTTAGAAATATAGATTATTTATGCTATTTCTTTAAAAAATGGGATTATATTCCACATGCTGTCCTCTGGATAAATTTGTATTTATCCTTCAAGATTCAACTTGGATGTTAATTAAGCTCTTGCTCCTATGTTTTTCCACTGCTCCTTATACATGCCATTATTATGGCATAGGTCCCATTACTAACACTTTTTGTGCTGATGTCTGTACCTATGGGGCCCACAACAATGCACCTTTCAGATCTCCTCTGAGACACTTCACTGACAGGTGACAGCACCTGCTGCTGCTCTATGAATCCTCCATGGTGCTCACGCCAAGGCCACCTTCCTGTGACTGGTCCCAGTCCACGACAAGTGCAGCAGGGACACTCAGGGAGGCCCATTTCTGTGAGACGTAGGACCTTCTTGACTTTCTTAAACTGCACGTTAGTCTCCGACTCTTCCTACCCGCCCTTCCTTCCCCCTCATTCACACGTGTTAGACCTGCATCACACTCTGACATCATTCCCAGCCTCTTCCAGAGCCCACCCCCTTTTCTTTCACTGGAATTTTCCCCAATAAGTCTCTGGCACAGCTAATCATGTCTTGGCAACTACTCCTCAGAGAACCTAAACTAAGAGAGTCTTCCTGTTAAAATGGAACATTCCAGGAGGGCAAGCTATACATTCTAATCACCATTCTATTTTAATGTTAGCATATGGCCCACCCAGCATAGCATTTCAAAAGTGCTTCCCAAATGGCTGGGCAAGCAACCATTTTAATTTCCTTACCTACCTCTCACCAACTCACCTGGTCTGGAGCCTTTTGAGACCTCTTTTTCCAGTAGTTGGGGCAGGTCAACCCACTTGAGCTGGGAAACCAAATCTAGTTTGGAAACTGGAAAGCCTGCCCAGAGAGAAATGAATGAACGGCGGCTGTTTGCCACAGAACCAGACAATCAGCATTCACACATAGCTCTGGGTTCTCCGGGGAGGAGAAGAGGCTGTCAAATACAGACATCAGCACTGAAATTTGAGGAGAACATGAGGAGGGTATGGCCTTGATAACAGCAAAATGATGCCCAAGACTTCCAATTCAATGAAGGAGAGGTACTTTTTTTTTGCAGTAAACTCTGCAGAAAAGTACATTCTTAGGACCCATTTTTAGGATTAATCGTATCACCAGTGCCTGTATGCCCAGGCAAAGCAGTGAAAAGCACTTATCTTTCAATAATAGAGGGCCAGAAGATACCCAGGTTAGATGCTAGATCATAAGAGGTGTCTTTACCCACAAATTCCAGGTTCCTAAAGTTCTCCAGCAGCACTTCCCTATATAGCTGCCTTTGAAAAGGTTCCAGCTTCCTCCACTCTCCTCTGGAAAAGTTCACAGCTATATCCTCGAGCGTCATGGATTCCTAGAACACCAAACACAGTCTTGTTTGCATTGGATTATTCCTAAATAGACCCTAAGATTGCAGAGAAGTGGTTAGTTTTGATAGTATTTAAGTTTCTAAGGAATCCAAAGCAAGCTACCAATACTTACCTCATTTCTTTCTTACCATAGTACATTGGCTAGAATATTCAGAAAAATACTCATTAATAGCAGGAAGATGAAAACATCCTTATCTTTTCATGAGCATTGTGAGGACTACCTTTTCTTTAAATGTTAATTTTTAAAAAAATTTATTGAATTTATAGAGAGGAGGGGAAAGAGAGAGAGAGAGAGAGAAAGACAGAGAGAGAGAAAAACATCAATTTGTTCTTCCACTGGTCTACGCATTCATTGTTGATTCTTGTATGTGCCCTGACTACAGACTGAAGCCGTGACCTTGGTATATGGGGACAACATTCTAGCCAATGGAGAACCCAGCTGGGGCCTGTGTTTTATTTTCCAATGCTATCTAGCTAGGGATGTTTTTTATCATGTTAGGAAATAAAATTCTCTTTTCACCTGAGTAATTTTTATTACGAATAATTGTTACATTTTGGCAAATAATTTTTTTGTTTTTATTAGAGGCAGACTTGTGACATATTCTCCAAACTGTAATAAAATAGCACATGAAGAATAACTTTGAAGAATGTGAATAGAAGACTATCTTAATTCTTCTATCTAGTATTGTTATACCAATCAGTAGGACGTCAGCACGTACTCACTTGAGAATGAGAGCCAGTGAAAGGAAGCTTACCCCAGACTCAGTATTCGGAAGGACAGAAACTGTTCTATCTTCTTCAGGGCTCTCCTCTTGAGAAATAACAGAATCTTGAGAAACTGGATCTAGGAAGGAAAGAAAAAAACACAGTCCAGTCTTTGAAATGAATTCCTCAGACTAGAAATTCTTCTATGTCTCTGGAGGAAAAGGTCGTAAGAAATTAAAAAAAAGATTTTCCCCGACTTTTTAAAACAGAAAGAACCACAGGTAGCTTCTTATTAAAACCCAAGCTTTTCCCCCATCCCATAAAATAAAAATATCCTTTCAATTCCTCAGCTCACAAAAAACTGATTTTGTTCATGCCATATACCTACAGTTTAATATATTTAATTTGCAAAAAATTATTTTTAAAATATTTATAAGATTTATTAAGGTAAAACTACATATTTATTTCGTTTTTTTTCTTCATAGTCCTACCACAATGCCTTGCACAAGAGCCACTTATTAAATAAGGCACCAAACTGGTGTCAAAAACTAACTCCACCTCTGAAGGCACCCACAGTTCCTGAGGACAGAAATCAGGGACCCCCACCTATGAACTAAACGTATTAAATACTCTGAGATGTTAACAACATTTCTAATAAGAGAGAAGCATTTTCTAAATCATACTTCCCTTTGTTCTAAAAAGAATTTTAGGCAGCTCATTGATTAGAGACAATCAATGGACATTAAGAATCGGAGTCACGCTATCCCAGAGAGCAGAGCAGTTGTTTCCAGGAAACTGTTCTGGCCGACAGAAAGCCGGAGACGTCCATTCACGAGCTCCTTGACTGCAGGGGCATGGAGGCCCCGCGTCTGTATGAGCACCGTGTTGCGGTGACAGGTAAGTTAGAGGGGAGCCGGGAAGCCCAAATTTTGGACACACGAATGAGCTGCGTGCCAACAAACCAAGTCGGTGGAGGTGAACGCTAGTTCCCCATTTGTCTCAGAACTCCTGGTAGAACACGCCCTGCCCCACACACACGTACCGGGAGCCTGATGGTAAATAACTTACAACAGTATGTGGACTATTTGTAGCATATAGAGGGATTTTATAAAAGTTGAACCCCATGCTCTCAAATGCCTACCCACCCTAGACATCTTTTTATCAATATTTTACAACAATATAATCATGTTATCATGCCCAGTTTATTTTTATACATTTATATGTAATGCATAATAATGTAATTATGAAAATGTAAGTCAACTGTTCCCTAAGGCTACGGAGAAGTACTACCCACCAGGGTAGTTGCTGGCCACATGCAGCACTTAAATTCAAGTTTGATTAAAAATTCCATTCTTTATTTGCACTGGCCACATTACATATGCTAAATCTGAAATGCAAGAGAGGGCAGAATGCATTTCTGTCATCGCAGATATTGGGCAGCTGTAGTCTTGAAACGTGCGACCGCACACACGACAGCAAGATGGAAAGACCTGGCTGGGTAGCACGCCTGTGACTCCAAACGGTGCTAGATGGTTTCTTTCTCCTGTGTTCGAAAGTCCCCTCTTGCTCAAGGGTGAAGAAAAAGAAATTAGTATTTCTTGAACATCTACCATGTATTATATCTTACCTTAGTTAATCCTCAAAACTGTAGATAAGATGGGATCCCCTTTTATAGATAAAAAAAAAATTGAAGTTCTGAGAGATTATGCAGCTTGCCTAAGATCACACCATAAAAGGTGGGGCCAATTCAAACCCAGTCCCACCCCTAAACTTAGACTGTCTCCTCTTTGGCAACAGACGGCTCTCTTTTGGGATGTTCACCCTCATGCACTAAGGAGATCTTACCTACTCCTTCCCTCTGTCTACAAATCTCACCTTCTTTTTCTTCAAGCGTTTGGGTCAAATCCTCTATCAAGGTTACCACTTCCTCACTATTCTCAGGATGTTGTGACTTGACCCAAATCCTGATCTCCCCAGGCAAAATGGTCAGGAATTGCTCAAACACCAAAAGCTCTAAAATCTGTTCTTTCGTGTGGATGTCTGGTCTCAGCCACTGAACGCAGAGCTCCCAGAGTTGATTCAGGGCTTTTCTGGGTCCAGCCTCATCTGAGTAACAAAACCACCTGAACCTCTGTCTGAAAGACTCTGGGTCAACATCGTTTCCTCTCGGGGTCGCTTCTTCATCCCCAAGTGTATCCATTATTATGACCTTGATGTCTTCATCTGAGGCCAGAGTTTGAGGCTCTGGGGGGAGGGCCGTCATGTTGTTCAGGTATGGTACTATGGCTTGCAAAGCGTGTCACCAGCAAGAATTCAGTCCCCTTCAGACTCTAGTGGAGTATCAGTACAGTTCACCGATAGGCACTACACACAGCCAATACCACGATTCCAAGGATTCAGTTTATGGTCTTGCAGAAACTGTTAAGAAACATAAGATATTTATTAAATAAGTGAAACAAATCATAAATCCTAAAAACACTGTTCATGGTTTGGGGTGTGTGTGTGTATTCTCAGATGCCTAACACAGCACTACTACTATATTAAAAGAATAATTTCCTTTTAAGATTGTATTTATTTATTTATTTATTTATTTAGAGAGAGGGGAGGGGAGGGAGACAGAGGAGAGAAACATCTATGTGTAAGAGATACACCAATCGGTTGCCTCTTGCACGCCCCCTACTGGGGGCCTTGCCCGCAAGCCAGGCATGTGCCCTGAAACAACCATTTTCTTTTGCAGGTGAAAAGCCAAGTTACTAAGGATAATTAAAGGCATCCTTCAAGGAAACAGTTCTTTTGAATAAATACTCCTCCAAAGCAAAAGTGATGAGAAAAGGCGCATGGCTACAAGAGGATCCAGACTCAACGCTATTCAGTGATTCCTGCCCTCTCTCAGCAAATGTCCACACATTTCCACCAGTTGCTCCACATAGAAGCCTGATTTCCTATTTTCCTATCAAATCGCTCACATAATCAATAACCCAATTCTGGCAGTTTCATTTCCTAAGAACCTCTCCATTCTATCCTACTGAAACTACGTAAGACCAGGATTCTCCAGTCCAGTATCACGATGCAGCCTAAAGATTCCTTCTAGAATGCAAAACACATCCCTCCCCAACTGTCTCAAGGTAAAATTCAAACGCTGAGGCCATGCATGGTGATCTAGAGACCTTGCCCCGATGACCTCACCTCTTGAGCTCCAGTGCCCCTGATGGACACTGCAGCCATAAAGAAGTATCTCCGGGTTCCCAGACACTCCACCCCCTTCCACCTTTTGCACTAGCGCCATTTCCTCTCCTTTAAATGCGTCTTCTTTCCCTCTCAAAGCAAAGGTTTTTCCATTCTTTAAAACTGTCACCTCTTGTGTGAAGCTTTCTCTGATTCCCAGTTCCTTCTCTGCAGAGAGCCTACCCTGTGTGACATGCATTCTTTCATTCTACAAATAACCCAACATGTTCGACGAGCTGGGAACGGAGCATTAGGGGAGCAGGCGCGGACAGATGAGGCAGGGTCCCCACACTTACGGAGCACCCAGGAAACGACAAGACAGCCTGAGATGTACTATACTGTAGCAAGTGCCAGAACAATCTCCTCCTATTTCAACCCTGGTACCAATAATTATCCACCTCCGAGAACAGTAGCCAGCACACAGCATGCATGACGTCACTTATTCCTCTGCCAAATATTAGGTGCTTACCCCGTACCTGGCGCCTTGCTGGGCACCTAGGACTCTGTGGTGACTAAGACACTTGTCTCGGACTCCAGAGAGATTACAACAGAGGCACCGCGAAAATGTGACGCAGGCAGAAAGAAGTCCTCCAACACCGGGCAGGTAGGGATTTGCCTTACTGGGTACCTTGGCAACGTCTGACCACATTCTGATTATCATGACTCGGTTGGAGAGGTGCTACTGGTACCCAGAGACTACAGCAAGGGATGCTGCTAAGCATCCTGCAATACACGGGACAGCGCTCCTCACCCCCAACGCACACACAACAAAGAATTTTCCCGCCCAAAATGCAAAAGTACCTAAGCGCGGAGTCCCCCGGAGCAAGGTGAGGATGGAGGAAAACTCAGTCATTTAGGATAGTGCCCACCTCCCACAAGAGCTGTGGCATTGGGAGCGCAGCCAGGTAAGTCGGCTGTCCTCGGCCCCTACGCCGCCCCGAGTGCGTCCTAGGAGCCGGCAACCGGGCATTAGCCCCCACGCTATGAGCCCGGGAAAACCACTACCTGCATCAGAACCCGCAGCCAGGACCAACGCTACCGCAATGAGCTTCTAGAAGATAGTCCTGCAGAAGCTGCGCGCGCAAGCTGGCTGGGGACCACTGCGCCTGCGCAATGGCGCAGAACTACGATTCCCGGAGTGCGCTCTTGTGGCTTTGCTAAAGTCCTGTGCTTTCCATAGGCTCTCACCCTCGCCTGTTGCGCACGATCATTGGGAAGCAGCTGGTGGGCTCGGCCACAGAATTATTGCTGCGCCAGAGGCCTAAAAGCCTAGAACCTTCTGAGGTTTTCAGGTCTATGATGTTATGTCTCCTTGGTAACGTCAAATCATACCGCCCCCCCCCTCCCCTCCCTACCCTTCCCTGAAACCGAGGCTGGAAGAACCCACCGCAGAAGCATATCACTAATGCATTCAATACAAGCCATGATTAATGCCGCAACTTGAATTAAACAAACATCAATTTTATGATTTTCATCCTGCCACCATGGTCCAAACCACTATCATGCTTCCCCCGGATTGCTGCAGTAGCTTCTTGATGTCACTCTTCTTCACACCACAGCCAAAGAGATGCTCTAAAAACGTAAACCAGAGTATGCCCCTCCTCTGCTTAAAGCTCTGCAAAGGCTTCCCATTTCACTCCGAGTAAAAAACCATGTTTTAACAGAAGCCCTAAAGCCTATGGAATCTGGGCACTCACGACCTCCCTGGCCTCTTCCCCTTCTTCCTGGCTCGGTCACGATGGCCTGCTCGCTCTCCCTCTCCCTCTCCCTCCAACCTGGCCGGCACATCTGGCTGGCATGCTCCTCCCTGAGGTAGCAGAATGTTTCACTCTGCCACTCCTTCGTATCTTCCGAGTGAAATTCTCCCTCCACTGTACTTATATCCAAACCCCACCCCCGCCCACCCACTCCTGTTTTCCCTTCTAACCTATCGTGTAATTCCCTTATTTATTTACTACTCACTGCTGTCTCCTTCACTTGAATATCAGTTCCACAAGGATAAGCAATTTTTATCTGGTTAGCTCCATGGAAGTACAACCTCCAAGTTCTAGAACTGTGCCTGACACAAAGTAGGTGCTAAATAGGTATTTGTTGGCTCTCTAAATGGGCACTTGTATGGATTACTAGGGACATAGCAAAAGGGACTGAGGAACTCCAGAAAGATTATTGGGAGGGTCCTAATAACTAGATGACTTCTGGAGGGGTGCAGTTGTGAGAGAAAGACATTCTGGGTTGAAGGAGTAGGGTGGGTCGAGGCCCTGAGACTTTAAATGGAAAGACCAAGCTCAGCTAAATGAAACCAGTGGGTTCGCCTCAAAGGCAGCAAGGCTAGCTGCGGAGATAGGGTTACCTGCAATCAAGAAGAAGCTATCCCAGTCCCAGGGCTGAATGCATGTTCTCCACCTACCTGTGCTTGGCTGTCTGAAAATGGACGGGACATCAAGCTCAGGAAAGCAGAGGAACATGAAATGAAATTGGCTCAGTTGTTTAACTGGGCAGGCCAGAGAAACTGCTAAGTAGTGGTCCTCAAACTCTATTGGACTTTAGAATCACATAGTGTTCTTCATTTGAATACAGATTTTTGGACTCTGCCCCCACACAACCTGTTGCAGGTGGTCCTTAGATTATGCCTTGGGAATAATCTCAAATTGGAATAGTCTGTAATCAAATGACATGCTACATACGAATAAATTACCAGGAAAGAATGACCCCTTCTTGGAAGTGGTGGCCAGGCTGTAAATTTTGATTAAAAGCAACCATTGTAGTAAAGTGTGGTGGATCGTACACCAGTAAAAAAAGAGCCAATGACAAACCAGTTAGTTTCACTTGTAAACAAGCTAGCGGGTGGGATCGCTAACCAGCAGAAGTGGACTTAGGAATACTTTAAGCAAATAAATGGGCTTCTTGCTTGTTTGTTTTTCAGCTGTTTGGGTTTTAGTATGGAGAGCAGACTGGAAAGAGGTAAGGCTGGAGACAAAGTTGATGTGATAAATCTCACATTTTGTCTGTGAGATTTATCAGTCTGGTTGCATGTGGTTATAAATCCATGAAAATCATTTGTTTTCATTGCTGCATAGTATTCCCCTATGACTTATTATTTATATTGAAGTTACCTGTTTTTTTTACAGCCCCTTGCCCAGTCTCTGTTCCCCCCTACAGAGGTGGGGAGTCAGCATGTGTGTGTGAAAGGGCAGGTCTGTCTGGTTTTCCTCCCTTCCTTCTAGAATCACCCACATTAAAGCATCAGAAGAGGTCCGGCCTGACCCTCCCACCCCTGCTGTGCAGAAAAATGACACCCAGGGCAGGGAAGGGTCTTGCCCAAAGGTCACTCAGCTGGTAACTGGGCAGCTAACTGGCTCGGAGCAGACGCCTTTCAGGAGGAGGAAGCACGTCTTTCCCCTTAGCTGGAGGGAGGAGCGCAGCCTAGGCGTTCAGGGTAGGAGTTTTAAAAGTTGTTGCTTAAGTGCCAAAGTCTATCCGAAAGAAATGTTACAGGTGAAAGAGGAGCATTCCTGAGTGAAGCCCTGTATGCCAGATGCAGGCAGCCTTTGAGACGTCCTCTTGGGACCCTGCAACTCTTTCAGTCTAAGCTGAGTCCTCACATCCTGGTGCCTCTGGCCTTGGCTCCGCCGAGACTCCAAGAATCCCAGAGCCAGTTAGAAGCTGTGCTATTCTTTCTGGGAAATCTGACCATCTCCTGGAAAGAAAACAGCAAAAAAAAAAAAAAAAACCTCTCTTGCCTGGCTCTGTAAGGCTGTAAAGGGAGAGGACAGTGGGAGTATCTTCCAGAAAGAAAGAAACAACAAGCTAGCAAGCAAGCTACAGTACAGTAAGGGTCCACTAGAGAGAAAGAGGATGAAGATACAGAGCAAAGGATTCTATAGGACAAAGACTGAAGAAGTAGGAGGAAATGCACAGATGGAGAGATGACTTACATCGGAGCCAGGGTCCACTGTTCATTGTAACAGAAGGGAAGGAGGCAAGGAGGAGTGTAGATGCAATAGGTATGTGACGGACTCCTGGTGTTTGGTGGAGTCAGCTGAGAGGTCAGCAGGAGCAGTGGGTGGGAGTGGGATCTGAAGCTTGATAAGAGTGGATTAGGTTTGAGATAGCTTTCTGGGGGTCATTATGAGCTAACTAGGGAAACACTGAAGGATTTCCCTGCAGTGTTAGAGACCACTGATTTATGGCGCATCAATATGTACATTGAGTGATTTTTCTCAAGAAATGCAAAGTACTCCTAGAATAGTCATAGAGAAGAGGGATGTTTGGGTTGCTTCAGGCGATGGGGTTTTGTAGGGGGAGTTAGGCAGGAAGGCAGTGGATCACGGGGCTGAGCATATGAGCAAAAGGATGTTTGAAATGCAAGATGGAATCCAATTTAGATAAGGAAAATGAAGTTAGCTAATATGAAGGAAGGAAGAAGAAGGATCAAAGGATTAGAAATCAAAGCTTAATAATCAATATACTCATGCAGTTAAACATACACTTGCTACGCGATCAAGCGATCCCACGTCTAGGTATTTGCTCACGAGAAATGAAAAGATATGCCCACCTGTATGGGAATAGTTATGGCTGCTTTACTAATAATTGCCAAAAACTGGAAATAACTCAAATGCGTAGCCACTAGTGAACAGATATTCACTCCATGTACGATACTACTCGCTGTTACTACTCAACCAGAGAAATGAATAAACTACTGATATGTGCAAAAATATAGCTGAATCTCAAAATCAGCATGCTGAGTGAGAGAAGCCAGACCCAGGAAGGAATGCAGTGTGTGAGCCCATTTATATGCCAGTTTAAAAAAGACAGAGCTACAGGGGCAGAAAGGAGATTGATTAGTGGTTTGCCAGGCACTAGGTGTGGAGAAAAGGGGCTCGAGTGAACTTTTTTAGGGTGATGAAAACACCCCAGTGTAACTCGATTGTGGTGGTGGTTCCGTGATTGTGTATGTCTGTCAACTTGTATGCGACACCCGTTTGTCAGAGAGAATCGTACACATTAAAATGTGGATTTTGGTGCCTGTGAATTATACCTCAGTGAAAGCATATTTGTAAAGGACTGATCACAGCAGCTTTTTTTTTTTTTTTGGTAGTAGTTAAAAGCTGGAAACATCTCAAATGTCCTGTGGCTGGTAAAGGGGTAAGCAGTAAATGGTGGTGGTATAGCTGGACAACAGGACATTACCCAGCAATGAAAAGGAACCCACGACTGATACTTGCCACAGCCTAGATGAAATCTCAAAGTGGAAGAAGTCAAACAAACAAGCAAACAAGCCCTGGCTAGCGTAGCTCAGTGGATTGAGCTTGGGCTGTGAACCAAAGCATTGAAGTTTCGATTCCCAGTCAGGGCACATGCCTGGGTTGCAGGCCACGGCCCCCAGCAACCGCACATTGATGTTTCTCTCTCTCTCTCTTTCTCCCTCCCTTCCATCTCTAAAAATAAATAAATAAAATCTTTTAAAAAAAACAAGCAAACAAAAAGAATACATAGTCCGTGATTCCATTTATATACAATCCTAGAAACTATAAGCTAATCTTTGGTGCCTGAGAACAGATCACTGGCTGCCTGGGAAGGGTGGGGGTCTGGGAGCAGAGAGAGAAGAGTTACGAAGGTCCATTAGGAAACCTGTGGAGGTGACAGAGATGTCCATGATATCACTGATTGTGATGATGTTTTCGTGGGGGTACATGTATGTCAAAACTCATCCTTACTCTTCTTTCAATATGTGTAGCTTGTTGTTTTTATCAATGAAACCTAGATGAAGCTTAAACATTCGTCAATCAACACACCTGGCTTTTCAGAGTAAAGCACGGATGTACTGGAATAATTGAGCCAGAGGCAGGATGGCAGTCTACTGGGTGGGCTAGCAGAGGGGAAGGCTCTCGGCTGCAGGAGTGTTGCAGGTGGTGACCAAGTCTGGGGTGTGGCTGTGGGAGTGGGTCACTGCAATAG